CGGGAGGGGGGGGGGGGGGGGGGGGGTGCCACAGTTTCCACAAAAATAGTATTGTTGTCAAAACTGATACTAATAATCAGAAATGTTCTTGAGCAGCAAATTAGCATAATAGAATGATTACAGAAGGAAAATGTGAAACTGAAGACTGGAGTAATGATGCTGAAAATTCAGCTTTGATCACAGAAATAAATTACATTTTACAATATTTTCACATAGAAAAGAGTTATTTATCATTATAATATTATTTCACAACACTGCTATTCTACTGTATTTTTGATTAAACGAATAATGCCTCGGTAAGCAGACTTTTTTCAAAAGAAAAAAAAGGAAAGAAAGAAAAAGAAACCTTTCCGACCCCAAACTTTTAAACATTATTGTAAATTGTACACGATACTATATACACTTAAAAATAAATGTTCTTTATTGGCATTTATGGTTCCATGAAAAACCTTTACTATCATAGTGCTGAAAAGTTCCATTACACAAAATCTCTTTATACTAAAACGGTTCGTCAGATTTTTTAAATGTTCTTCACACAAAGAAAAAAAAAAAAAAAGATTCTTTTAAGAACTGTTCACAGAAAGCTTTTTTTTTTTTTTTTAAAAAAATGTTTTCTTTTATCCCCCCCTATTTTATTTTTTTTTTACCAAAAATGGTTCTACTATAGTTCCCCATTTTCTTCGAGTTTCTTACTTCTGCTGAGCACAAAAGAAGATATTTTGAAGAATGTTGGTAACCAAACAGTTGATGGTAGCCATTGACATCCATAGTAAGCGGGGGGGGAAAAAGAAAGAAGAAAAAATTAAATTTTTGGGTGAACTATGCCTTTAAAAGTTGTATTATTCCCTGTCAGCTGCCTTTGACGTCATTGCTCAGGATAGTTGATAGTCAAGCGCTTGGTATTTTCCTGCATTTCGAGAGCGATTAGTCACACAGCAATTAAAGCTCAGCATGAGCAAAGACGGCACATTTCCGGCATACTTCCGGCAGGTCCTTCATCACCCGAGCAAGAACATTTACGAAGAATGCAACCAGATAGACCTTCCTGCAACAAATGAAGCATGACTCATTTTTTTTCATTACAATCATATTTTCTTCTTTATGCACCAAGAGCTTGTAGCACTCCAAAGAGAAAGGGAAAATTTAAATCGCATCATATGACCCCTTTAAAAGATTAGGTCTATAATTTGTGAATGTTGACTCGTTCACCTTAAAACTCTTCATTGCAACTCAAATTTCTAAATAACATGTTCCTCACGTTCCCCTCCACATTCTCAGTGATTTAGCACAGAGTTCACAGCAGAACTCAAAGTGGTTCTCTTCAAATAAACAGTAGAAGATGCAGACCAAATCTGTCTTGTGAGTTTTGGACACTTCTAATGCATTTCTGATGGAGTAATCTTCAACAGTCATTATTATGAGGTTTCCTCCGTTATTCGGTGTCAAAACACAATGAGAAGCTGTGTGGAGGAAACACTTTTGTCAATCAGCATAAAATGAAAAACACGTTTGCTGCATGCAAATATTTATCCATCAAAACTTTAGTCAATCTAGAATTTCAGCTCGGAAAGCAGCCACAGCTGAAGAGGGTATTTGTGGTTTCAGGTAGTTACTATGGTGAAAAACTCAACAAAAAAGTCTGTTAAGTGATACTGCAGATGCAGAAGTCATTTGAAAGAAAACTGCTATACTGTACGTTTCCGTCCCAGTCTTTAAGTTCTCAGTAAACACATGCAATTAAAAAACAAGGAGGGAATATAAAACATACACCAAGTGAACCAAATGTCATGCATCAGATTTCTCCTGGCACACAGTGAAGTCTGTGGAATATCACCATCAACACACGCTCATGGACAAGTAAACTTAGCATCTCACACTCCATTGATTCTCATGATGCTACACTTTTGGCTTCTCAATCGGCTGCTTACGGCGTTGACGTCTTCTGAGCGAGCACTGCTATTTAGATCCTCTGTAATCTTGCATTTCCGGCCAGGATTGGCAGTCCGCAGGCCAGACGCGCTACGAGCGCCGTGATATTTTTTGAAGTCGCTCATTCAAAAACCAAAAGAATATAGTAGGTGCAAATTATTCAAAATCACATTTGTAAATGGTGTGCTATTTTCTCCATAAGGACGGGTATTCAACTGCCTCAAAACCTGTTTTGTTCATGAAATACACAGTGGCATGGCAGGAAAGCCTACTGCTACTTACAATACATAATACTTATGAATTAGCATTTACCCCTTAGCATGCCTACCACACCATTATTTACGACAAATTGAGCTGAGTCACCACTTACATAACAAAGAAAAGTCAATCCAAAAAGTACATGTGACTAATCTTATAGTTCAAGTTCAAAGTGACCACATGAATTAGAAACTTCACTTGAACTTTACTTAAAAGCCATAAAATGGTATAATCTACACTAAAACAATATTCAGGGTGAAAAATTAAGGCATAGACTATGAACATTAAGAAATATATATTCTTTTCACTCAAAAACCACACAAAGTCAAACCTATCAAGCCATCACGCCAAATTAAATAGCACATGCTGAAGTCTAGTAGCTAGGGACAACGATTGGTTTATACGCTTCTACAGTTATGGAGAGCTGATTTATTTATACTGTAAAGTAAAACGCTCATGTTTTCTCTCGAGTCAGGAATGGGTCAGATTAAACTCACTTCCAGGGAACTGCATTCTTTCAAGCCAAAGAAACAAAACAGAGTGGTCTGGTTCAATTTAAAAAGTTCATTTCATGTTTTTGGGCAAGAGACAATAACTGCAGCCCTGAAATCTGAATAAGGGATACTTCTAAGAGCTGAATATTTCATCATGCGGATAATCTACGAAGTACTGGATGCATGAAATGCAGTCAGTGTTATTGAACTGTCAGTTCAAGAGCATGAAAGTGAAATGACGTCCTGTATCAGAAATTCACTTATACTTTCCAGTGTTAGAAAAGGACTGAATCACATTAAAGAGACTTTCAATTGGTTCCACCTCTATATGCCAAGCATATAGTTAGCAGAAATGTTTTCTGAATGAGAAAATATATAGTTTATTGAATTTATGGAAACCTTACATTATGCCTTTGAATCGATACTCCAGAATTTATTAATGGAAGTGAAATCTTGTGAAATGAAAGTGAACTATTGATAATTTTATAATGAGAGAATAAAGAGACTCTGGAGAGTTGCCTGGAACAACAATCACTCTAACACAGTTTAGTGTCATACAAAAAATATTTGACGGAAATTAGAATCAAATATTCTAGAGGCCTATGTAATAACCATATCTTATGAAAATAAGCGAAAATATTTTAAAATCTATTTTAAGCTTATGATTAAAAACGAATAGAATTATTTCTCTTAACCTCATTCTAACATTAATTTAATTAACATTATTAAAAAGCATCTTCATATAAGGGCTCAACAGTTTCTGTGCATGCACAACTGGTGAATTGTATTTTTGTTCCTTTAATTTGTTACTAATTTAAAGGAAAAGTTCACTCAAAAATGAGAATTTGCTGATAATGCACGTACCCTCAGGCCATCCAAGATGTAGATGAGTTTATTTCTTTGTGGGAACAGATTTGGAGAAATTTCACTTGCTCACCAATGGATCCTCTGCAGTGAATGGGTGCCGTCAGAATGAGAGTCCAAACAGCTGATAAAAACATCACAATAATCCACAAGTAATCCACACCACTCCAGTCCATCAGTTAACATCTTTTGAAGTGAAAATCTGTGTTTCTAAGAAACAAATTCAGCATTAAGGTGTTTTTAACCTCAGACTGTTGCTTGCGGCTAAAATAAGTCATCCTCTATCCAAAACATTGCTTTCTTCGGTGAAAAAGTCATCTTGTCTGAATCAGAAGTTTACAGTTGAAAACAGTCCAAAACAAATAAGTTTGTGGATTTTGATGTGAGAGGACAACAGGGGATTCACTTTTTCACTGGAGGAAGCGTTATTATGGATTATGGAGAGAAACAATGGTTTACAATTAAAACTTTTATGGATTTGTTTACTACAAACTAGGCTTGGCGCGATAGACGGTGCTGACGGTGTTAAGCCGCAACACCGGTTACGTCACTTGCCCACCGCGTCACCGACCCCCACCGCCGTTTTGATTTTTTATAGTAATAAAAATAATTTAGTTCAGTAAAAGAACAGACCTACAATTAAAAACTGAACGCGGCTGCTCAATGCAGTTGAACGACAGTCACATAACAGATCAGATTTCATTTCTCCAGGAGAAGAGTGAGGTGAGACAGATGAGACGATTGCGGATGATTTAGTTTCGAAACGAGATGCAAAAGCTCCGTTTGGCAATATTTTGGATTTTGAAAAGCCTGTTGACTTGCCGTTTATCTAAGGAGATTTTGGAAGTTTTTTTTAAACATTAGTTTCTTATTTAATTGGTTCCACATTGTTTGGTAATTTTTACTTTATTTAAACTGTGTCATTTATTTATTTTATTTGACATCAAGGCCTCCAAGCTTTCTTACTCGTTTTGCTAATAAATGTTCTACGTTTCTTATTTATTTGGTTATATATTATACATGTTTACTTGTTTCCAGTTTTGTACATTTAAACTTTATGCAAGTTATTTGTTATTTTATATTAGGCATAGCCTGCCCTATAGCACGGTGTATTTTTATTTGTTTTGTTAATAAAAGTTCTATGTTTTATATATACGATAAAGTGAGTTTGACGTTGTATTTTGTTGTTGCATTCAAGCAATTGATGCCGAACTGCTGCTAATTCGAAAGTGAAAGTAAAATGCGCACGGTGCTTTTAAGCTATTTAAAAGCGAGGAAAAGAGAGAAAATTCAAACGAACTAAAAACTAACAATTGCTATACTATGAATTGCCACTATTTGAAAGTGAAAGTCAAATGCGCACGCCGCTTTTACAAGCTATTTAAAAGCGAAGGAAAGCCAGGAAAAGAGGGAACGCCCCTGCGGTGATAAGGTATTACCGGTGTTGTCACACGTCGAACATTTCCATTTACAAACATGCAGCTTTTGGCTTCACAAGACATTAATCGATGGACTGGAGTGGTGTGGATTACTGTGATGTTTTTATCAGCTGTCTGGACTCTCATTCTGACGGCACCCATTCACTGCAGAGCATCCATTGCTGAGCAAGTGATGCAATGCTACATTTCTCCAAATCTGTTCCCATGAACAAACACTCATCTACATCTTGGATGACCTGAGGGAGAGTACACTTGTCTACTTTTGTTTGCAGATAAGTAAATGTTGCACCTGTGAAGACAGAAGATTGCAGTCTATATGAAGGCCTCGTCCTGTTTTCTGTCGCTGAATCAAAGCAGCCATGACAGCTCCCTGAGTGTATAAACCAGTGGCCAGATCTGTCATAGCGACACCTGGCCTGACTGGGTCTCCATCCTTAAAAGAGAAAAAGTTAAATAAACAGAATATAAAGGATCTAAAATAGGATGTAGCATTTAAGGTGAAGTGTGCCATTTTTTTTTTTTTCAATGTTCGAAACAAATGGCGTGAGTTTGGGAAGGGTATTGGTTTCTTCTACCAATATTTCACAATTTGTTGATGCTATAAATTACAAGCACATCAGATCATTGTCCTCACCTCAGGACCAGTGATGTGCATCATACCAGACACCGCAGACGCAATGGAGTCATAACCAGGCTTGTGTGACTCGGGGCCCGTCTGTCCATATCCTGAACAAATTAACAGACGTTATTATTGATTATATGCGTGGACGAATATGAATATGTGCTTACAGCTCACAGTTTTGTGTAATATGAGCATGTCAGAGCTACAATCTCCAGCATATTCTGCTTTGCCAGTACGGCTTGATTTGGGCCTGTGTGCGGCTCTTAGAAATCCCTACAGCTGAGCACACACGTCCAGAGAGAATGTGGGCAAAGACACGATTACATTTCTATTATCATCAGAGCTGTCAGCTTAATTTTATTCTAGGATCTCCACTGTAGTTCTAAGACTTTTGACTCACTGGAGGTAAACACCTACGGATGTGTTTATTTCCTTGGCAGATCATGTCCTAGTATGAAAACAGCAGTCTACTGGCCAGAGTTTGCACAAGAATATTTCACAAAGCAGTATCACTTCATAACATTTTTCCTTCTCTCTTTGCTTTAATTACTTGTTTGCTAAAGCAAACATCACTATTATTTTACTGCTAGTACTCAGATTTAAGAATTTTTCATAAAAAAAGTAAACCATGTGTTACACTATAAAAATATCCTGTTACATTTGCAAAAAGTAAAAAAAATAAATAAATTAAAAAAAAAAAGTTCCTGTGCCAAAAAAAAAAAAAATTACAATAAAAATACAGTACCATTGTTTACAGTATTATGGGACGTCTTTATATTTCTAACCATATATTTTATTAAGTGACAATGTTAAAATATCAATCTACCTAAACCACCAAAAATTTTGCCTTAAATGTACTGATAAACACCATAATACGGGGGGAAATCAAGTAAAATAGACAACAGAAAAGTCACACAAAACACTATATTGCATCTTGCTAACTAATAACAAAAATTAAGAAAAAAGAAAATTATCTATACAAAATATGTGATGTGTCACACAGTGATTTCTGAGAATACTCTTTTACTTTTTTAAAGGGGTCATATGATGTTGCAAAACATTATTTTGTGTATTTGGTGTAATGAATTGTGTTTATGTGGTTTAAGGTTCAAAAAACTATATTTTCCACATACTGTACATTATTGTTTCTCCTCTATGCCCCGCCTTTCTGAAACGCGTCGATTTTTACAAAGATCATCGGTCTGAAAAGCGAGGTGTGCTCTGATTGGCCAGCTATCCAGTGCGTTGTGATTGGCTGAATACCTCAAGTGTGTGACGGAAAAAATGTTACGCCCCTTACCATAACAAACGAGGCATTTGTTGCATCCAGTGGGGACATAATTACTGATTATAATGACTTATACTGTCTTTTTACACGTTGCATCGCGCCGCGTAAACATAAAACAATGTCTGCATTTGTGATCGGAGAAACGACAAACAACAAGCGCTACTCTACACTGCTCAAAACTCGCCTTTGAATCATCAGTGGCAAATTCTTTAAATATGAAAACGTACTTACAGTCTGTGAGTCAGAACAGCCGGCATTGTAGTCTACTCTCCCAGGATCAGGAAACAGTCCTCCATAAAATGCGCTGCACACATCTGAATATTTGGTTTGAACTGTTCTGGAACAGTGTTGTAAATACAACTTAACCACTGATTTCTAGTCGTGTCCTCTTTTGGAAGACCAAACAAAGTAGTTTCGCTTTCACAACGAAACACACAGCGGCTTCACGACATGGCAGCGGCAACAACAATACTACAGCGAGAATCAAAGTTACACCTTCTTTCTTTGCGTGAACATTTGGGCGGCGTTATGCAAATCTTCCCACACAGTGACGTAGACATGTGGGGGTGTGTTAAAACGAGCCGTTTAAGGAGGGCGTGGACGAGTCTCAACTTTTATAAAGAATATCTCTTTGGGTTTGAGACTTTAGTTTTTGTAACTTTAGGGATCTTATCTATTCACGAACAGCTTGTAACACTCCAAAGAGAAAGGAAAACTTGAAACTGCATCATATGACCCCTTTAATATGGTAATTTATAGTTTTTACTTGCAAAAATAAAAAATCTTATTACATTTAATGTGATGTTAAGCCATTTACAATTTTTTGACTGTACAGGTTAATGTAACTTCCAGTTAACCAGGGTTTACTAAAGCATTTTTACAGTATTTTTCCAGAACTTTTACCGCATTCAAACTGGAATGATACCTCAAATCATGCAAGTTGTTGAGGAGAGGTGTGAGCTTTTACTTTTCTAAGTGACTGGACTGTATTTTCGCCTGGCAGACAATAAAACAGAACACCTGCATTGAAAGAGGGAGCCAAGCCATTTCTGGAAACCTTCAGGTTATCACTGTTGAGACAGATCTTAACTAAAGAGCTATGATAGGAAGTTTCTGTAAAGTCCACAGAATATCATAGATATTGTGGCCCACTAAAGCCCAAAATATGCTTTGGTTTTTACCCGTACTCCAGAGTATGCATACAGTGTGTAAAAATGTTGTTATATTAGATGCTCGTCTACAAATTGTGTTTCCAAGAGAAATGTAGGCTAGATAGCACTGAAAAAAAAAACTGAAAAAAGATTCAGCCATATACAGTGGAGTTGTGTTTTGTATTCAAACCTGACGAACATGTTTGTTACAAAAATACAAATTGAAATGAGATTCATATCATTTATTGCAGTTAAAATTATTCATTTCATTTCTACCATCACAGTACTTCAGATGTAATACCCAAGCACACTACATTCATAGCATCTCTTTTACTATTATGATGTTACCACCAATAAGAACCACCACAAAAAGGGGTGCAAAGATATCTGGAACTCAAGTAAGCAAAGAACCCCTTAATCACTGCTTCTGCCAGACCCCCATCACTGCTGTAACCACATCAATATTAACAACACAAGTGTGAGAACAGGAACAACTAGATTTGAGTGGTCTGGGAAAAGTTGCAGCAATAATTCTAGAGCTCAGTGGGTGTTTTTTAGCACATTGTAAATTATTTCTAGGGTGTCAGAATCCTATAAACACAAGCACTGTCAAAATATTGTTCCATCTGATTGAGAATCCTGACCATAGCAACAGCTCAACCAATGGCGTGATTTTGGGGTGGAGCTACCTTTTTACTCAACCAATGGCAAATGGAAAGAGTTTGTAAAACTCATTAGAAAACCGTCCTTATTTTGCCATTCTGTTCGCAAAAATTACACATTTCACCTTTGAAGTAGGTTTGAAATGAAAATCCACCCTATTTATTTTCTAAAAGCATGTTATTGATCTTATTACGAACGATTCATCCATGCATTTTTTTTTAATTGATCGTCATTTTTAAATCAAAATATGACTCTGATCTTCCTGTGAAATAACAAACTTCTTTCTGGCGATGTATGCAGGACATTCATTTAGCCTGCAAGCTTGCATTCATCTTCATCCACCCACATCTCAAAATCCAATCAACAACCGATGAACTGTTCTTTTCCTTTTTCATGAACGCATTACACTCTGATGTAAATCACAACAAAGATAAAAAAATCTATCTGATGCTTTTGGAATGTAGTTTTTCACATTTTCCACCAGGACTTCATAAAAAAAACAAAAAAACTGAAACAAAAAAAATTTATAATTTTCAAACAAACCAAAATAATTGAAATTGGGGACAATATCCCTTTAAAATTCCTTACAAATGTGCAGCTTTTCACTTCACAAAATCATCATGGATTATTGTGATTTCTTATCAGCTGTTTGGACTCTTATTCTGACGGCACCCATTCACTGCAGAGGAACCATTGGTGCGCAAGTGATGTAATGCTACAATTATTTAAATCTGTTCAAATGAAGAAACAAACTCAACAACATCTTGGATGGCCTGAGGGTGAGAAAATATGTAGAAAATTTTCAACAACAAAAAAAAGGCAAAACTAATTGCCTTTTGAACAAGATGAGTCCTCTGCACAATCTGACTTTGCTGCAGCCTGGAATTGAACTGCTGGTTTCGTCTGGTCAGAGGAAAACTGGCCCCCCGACTGAGCCTGGTTTCTCCCAAGGTTTTTTCTCCATTCTGTCACCGATGGAGTTTTGGTGCCTTGCCGCTGTCGCCTCTGGCTTGCTTAGTTGGGGACACTTCATTTCCAGCGATATCGTTGACTTGATTGCCGCTGCGCCGTCCGAACCTTCTCAACATCATCTAAAGTTCTGCTTAAATCATGCATCTGCACCCAAATGGATTTGCGCCCATCTAATATTTAAATTCAGACTCTTCGCTCGTTTTCCTTTTATCGAAACATGTTTTGCTCTGTGTTAACATTCTGTGAAGTTTGTTTGTCTAGGTCTTACACAGCACAATGCACTTCGATGGCATTTTAATGAGATTGTGTGCGTGCGCACCGGCCGTATGTGCGCGTGTTTGCTGTGTGGCGCGTGCTTGTCGCGTCTCATTTGCATACAGCTGCTCGGCCGGCGCGCGCCCCTCCCCTACTGGCCACGAGCCCCCTCTCAATGCGATCACAGTAAAGACATATCAACATATTACTCGAAACTCATAACAAGACAAATGCGAGCATCGTAACGAACGCCATATCACGAGTTCACAAGCTCAGTGCTTTAATGCCAAAAGTAAAACGTAGACTAGAGCAGGCTATCTGTAGGTTTGACTGTTGTTTGTGTTGTGGAGTTTGAAAATAACATAAATAGTTATTCAAGGAGTCATGCATTCCCTAAACAGAACTGCACACCCTAAACAGTTCATATAAATGATCAAATCTAAATGTTTAATGGTGCAGTATTTGGGTTTATATAGCAATGTGTGGTTCAGGGCCATTTGCACTGCTCCTCCTACAGACCGGCACATGCTATTACACCAACCACACAAAACACTACATGATTATTTGATCTCTAAACCTTCCAATGTTATGAAGCACTCTCTGAATCAGAAAAGCCAAATGGTTCATTTCTAGCTTATGTGAAGACATATCAGATAATCTGTCGCAAGGATAAGCAAAGCATGTTAATATGTCATGGTAAATGGAGCATGCATGCATACAGTTCAGTTGGAGTCGGAATATGATACCCATATTACCAAACAGAACCATGAATGAA